AGGCTGTTTGTTTCATATACATTAACAAGGCCCTTAATTTTCAGCATTTAAAAGTTTTTCTTGGTTCACTGACATTTTTTAAAGCTTAGATATGAAAATAACTATTGAAAATTATCTGCATTTACAATGCATTCACATGTTTATTTAATGTCAACATACAGAGGACAACCCCCAAGTACTTCAGAATGTCAAGTGTGAAGGTAAGTCTCTTTAGCTGTGACAGTGACAAGGGAACAGCTAAAAAACAAAGCAGTGAAACAGAAACATGATTTTCTTAAAATTATAAAGTAACAATTCTGATATTCAAGCTTCATTAATTATTGCAACAGTTAAGAACTTAATTTACTAATATATGTTAGGAAGGCTCTTTTTTTCCCAAATTTATTCAAGTTGTCAAGAAATTAGATAAAAATGTAAAAAATAAATACATGTGAATTTTACTTTTGATTTTCACTAAAGGTAAATATCCATACAATTTTACAGTGTCACCTGATGACAATCTTTAATAAATCCAGGTATACAGAAATTTAAAAGGCAGGAGTTTCCTTTTACACTTTTAAACTTGAGAAACAGCAATTTAACTGTGACACAAAGTTCATGTAACAGATGCAGCAATAAATTTAAAAAATGAGCATCAGTGGGATAGTCTCCCTCCATTAGAAGGGCATGCTCTTACAGTGCTGAGCTCGGATTTGAATTTCAAAGTTGACCGTCCAACACAAAGTGCTTCTACAAAGCCAGCCCCAGGCTTCACTCTCACCAGTCTGAGGTCGCCTCTCTCTGGGACACCACTGGGGCACTGTGATGAGCACCTTGTTAACCTGAACCAACAAGCAGTGTGGGTCCAGCCACTCGGGTCAAAAGGCACACTCTGCACAAGGAAGGGACCCGGCTGCTGACTCCCCTGGGCTCTCAGGATGGGGGCCAGAGCAGCCTTCACCAGTCACCCAGAGCACATCTCTGGGTCACTTGCTGGCCTACACCTGCAGGGTGAGCCTCTCCCCACCTGCAGACACATCTGCCATAGTTCTGTGACTGGCACTCAGAACACCCGCTTCTCCTCGCTCCCAGGTATTCTGTGGGCCCAGCCGCTCCAACAGCACGTGACACTGCATGCCATGCATCTTTCACATGAAAAGCCACTGCTGACCTGTCTCCCCTTCCCTGGACAGTCAGGGTTTTTCCCAGCCTGGCATTTTCCTCACTTCGAGCTTGCTCCACAAAGAGAGAAAACCTCCCTCCAGGCAAGAGGTGACTAAGGCCCTCCCTGAACACAGGTGTAGACTCAGAGTGATGCCTTTTCACCAGTTTCAGCATTGAGTCTAACATTTCAAAGTTTCTTAAAAATTCCAAATCTACCACAGGATATGACAGGATCAGAGAGAAATGGCTGCCTGGCTATCTGCCAGCTAGGACTTGGGTGTTGGCTTAAGCCAAGAGCTAGAGACAACTATGAAACCCCACCCGGGATGTGTGCATATACCCATAAACACTGTTCCTCAAGATTTCTGAGTGTCTTTGGGATGATAATTGTTGCAGCTTCTGTCTGTCTCTCCATGCTCTGAGGTTTTCCATCTTTAGTCCTGAGTCAGGGGCTCACAGGAAAAACCCTTCCACACACCTGCTCAATTAGCACAAAAGACAAGCTTAGGGTTCTTTTTTCTACAGTATGCAGGGATTGAACCCAGACCTTTGCACACACTAGGCAAGTGCTCAACACCTGAGTTACATCCTAGCATCATCCCTCTTTTAAAAAGTATTTTCATTTGAGACAAGGTCTTTGTTGCTCAGGTTTACCTCAAGCTTGCCATCCTCCTGCCTTAGCCTCAGGCACCCCTTGATAAGTAGGATAACAGGTATGCGTCCCCATTCCTGGCAAACTTAGGGTTCTTTACCACTATTTATTTAAGCAAAAATGGAACCCAAAGTTCCTGACACTCTCTTAAGTGTCTGCCTACTCCCTCTTGCGCATCTGCTTTTAAAAGAAGGTAGAGCTTTCCCAAGGCCCATCTCCAGGCCTCTTGGGGATGTGGTCTCCCCGCTGAGTAAGGAGGCTGTCTGGAGGGGCTGGGGCTGCCTCGCCAAAACCACAACAAAGCTGGTTCCTGGAGCTGCTTGTGGGTCTGAAGAAGGTGAGCGGAGCACTGCCTAGGCATGGAGCCTCCAAGGACATTGGATGCTGTCCAGGGACAGCTGCCCTTACTGGGACAGAGCAAGCCTCCCTCCCAGTGGCCTGGTGTGGACTACAAGGTTCAGCCGAAGCCTGACAAGCAGTGCTGACCAATTGGTAACAACCTTCCCTTTGCTAAAAGCTGTGTTTTATTCACAGGTGAGGTTAGAAAAGATATCCTTGCTCCTAATAACGTTCACACTGAAAAACTTTAATAAGGAAGCTCAAAGTTTGGTAAGAAAACTACAAAAATGCTCCCCAAATTTCTCATAGTGGAAGCAATTAGCTCTGCAGCTCATACCCCTGAGGTCAGGAGCCCTGCTTGCCTCTCCTCGTCCCCTCCCTTCCTGGGAAGGGGAGCCACACCCACTGCACCTGGGTCCTCTTCTGGAGCTGCAGAACTTCCCTTCTGGTCCTGGAGAACACCAGGCCTCTGTCCTCCTGCCTGCAGAGGGGCTCTGCCATTTCTCACAGCAAGAGGCAAGGGGCAGTCAGAGCACAGGGTGAGGGCAGGGCAGCCTGGGGCTGACACTAATCTGCACTGGTCCCTGGACCTGACATTGGAGCCTTGATGAGGGGGCTCCAGACGGGCACTAAGGATACTATAATCAGCAGCAGAAACTGGACAAAAGAGCTGGAAGCCCAGAGGCCCGAGCACATACACAGGCTTCTATCAGGACATCTAAGGAAACAATGCTCTTCTGCCTCCCCATCCCTTCCCCACCCGACCAGCATGCTGAAGCCAGTGCAACTGGGAAAACTAAGGGGGCGGGATGTTAGAAAGTGTCTGCCTGCAGCTCTCCTGCCAGTGACTGCAAGTTTCACCATAAACGCTACTTACCTGTGACCAGCCACTCTATTCAGGCCAAATACAGTCCTGAGTTTTGAAACTGCATACTCAAGGCCTCAGCAGCATTTGAAAGTGAATTTCTAGAACTATATTGGGACATGAAATTGCACCTAGAATATTCATTACTAGCCCCCCTCACAGGCAGCCTAATTTGACCTCCAAAGCTTAAACAGTCTCAAAAATGCTATCTTTGCTACTTTAGATCAGTTAACCTTTAGGAACAAAGGACACATATTCAAGGTAAACAGGACATTCCCATTCCCATGAAGTGCCGCTCAAGGTCGTGAAGTCCATCAACATAGGTGAGATGCCCTGAAAGGCTGCCATGGCACATTGTCACTGCCACCACACTGAACAACAGTCACTTGCAGTAAGGAGCATGTTTGTGATGGGGACATGGATTGGAACATGGCATGACAAGAAGTGGGAAGCAGGCCTGGGCTGGCCTGGGCCTGGCTCTCCGGGGAGAGCTGTGGTAAGAACAGGGAGCTGCTGCTCCGTCTACCAGAGTTTTGACACATAAGAGAAAGGAAGCCGCCAGGTCTTCTCTTTAATGAGCCACATTCACTACTCAAACGGGTATAAATTATCATTATTACTATATTTAATTACAAAAGTGGGTGAAATAGAAAAACAATCCTCAATACTCCAAATAAGTTAACAAATAAAATAACTATCATCTTGACACAAAACACAGAGCTCAAACAACCACCTCATCCTCCATGAAAACTGGAATTTGAAAAGAAGCTCCTTATGCAGCTGAGAAGGGCCATAAGGAACTAGAATCAAATTCGGCAGTTTCCCATAGAATCTGCATAGCCTTTCCACCACAGAGGGAGCCAACACAGGCCCAGGAGCCTGGCGCTCAAGGGGGAAGCACAAGCACTAGGCCGGCTTTGGCATCCCAAGCGTCATCCCAGATTCACAACTCCCAATAAGCAAAAGGGAAAGCTGCACCTGTGATTCCCCTCTTCGGGGGAAACTAAACCCACCCAAGTGCCCTGTGGGGAGGTACTGTGCAGCCCCAGGAGCTTAATGGTGAAACAGAGCCATGGAGCCTGCCCACCGCCTACAGTCATGCCTTACTGACCCCCAAAAACAGACAAAAAAAAAAAAAAAAAAAAACCAAAACCTCCTTTTCCCTTCTTGGGAAAAAAACATAAGCCAAGCACATCTGACATGAAAGTCTTGGCTTATGTGGCAAGAGGCACTTCTGACAACAGCTGCTGGTGTGCTCAGCTGCAGCGCATGCTAACTGTCCAGGCTCTGGGTCAAGTGGAGATTTAATGCACAGAGTCTCAATCAGAGTTCTACAAACTGCTTCTTTGGAAAAAGATGTTTATTAAACAATTTTAATTGTCATAAAATGACTAAAATGGGTTTTAAAAATTAAGGCTCTTCTCTTTCTGTGGATTGCCAGAACAATGTAAAAATAATATCAATCAACCCTGCTGAACGCTTTGTTCCTAAAGTTAAATTTCATAGATTCCTAAACATTTTATGATTAAGATAAAAAATTGGATATAAATGACAATTAATGGCCATCTGTACTGAACACACACTCTGATCAGGTGTACAATAGTCTAGTTGAGTAGTTAAGCAAAAATATTCCAGTTAAAGCATCAATTTTAGCATTTTAAAGTCATTGTCCCCTCCCCACTGTCATGATTTCCCTAAATTTAAATAGTCTGATACAGGAGTGCTAATCTTGGGGCTCTATATACTCCCAGAAGGATGACTGACTCAGCTGGCAATTAGTTTGATTATATATTTTTTAAATGCGCTAAGGTGAATTATCAAATGATTCAGAATTACATGGCATGCAGTATCCAAAATTATGGCTCTGATGCATTTAGATTTACATTAAGAATAAGAAGTGTCATTCACATTCATTGTACACCCCGCCCCTCCCACAAAAAAAAAAAAATCACTACCTATTCAAGTTCTAGATCTGGTGCAGCATTAAGGATTAAAACTTACCACTTTACCAGGCCTTCCCCATGTGCAAATAAATCCCTCCTGACAAGCAGTGACTATACAGTCTTCAAGAAAAATTAATACAGTCAGTCTTTCATGTGCTATCTTTTTACAGATCAGAGGCTCTAACAAGGGAACGTCTTCCATCCGAGGACACAATGGCGTTCCCAAAGTTTTAGCGGGGTCCGTTTTGGTTTTAGTAACTAGATTCAGTTTGTCACTGCTCTTGCTAGAAATGTGTCCCATGCTATGGTTTCGCTTGTGGTCTTTCTCATGATGTCTCTCCTTTCGGTCGTGCAGTGAGAGTGTTGCGAATTTGCTGACCCCAGAGGCAATGGCCCCATCCATGACGCTGCTTTTGCTGCCTGCATTGGAGACCGCCGAGTGGGGAAGGCTGTTGGACCGAGGCAGTGGAGGGGGCACAGAGTTCCCGGGTGTTGTGACACTGTTCCCATTACTTCCAGCGGGAGGACTTGTGGCATTCATGACATTTGTGTGTGTCCTTGCTCTTGAGAGGGGTTGGTGAGGGAAAAGGATGTCTTCCGTAAGGTCCCACAAACACAGCTGTGTATCCTGGCCCACTGAACCAAACCGGTACGTAACACTTACGGGGCGGCTGTCGGTAGAGTTCCGCTTGGACAGCCGGGACTGTGTACTGTTTGCTCGATCTCTGCCAAAATGAAGAAGGTCCTGGAAGTCCTCATCACTGCCACTAAACTCCATAGGGTCGCTTTCTTCTACGCTAGTAGTATAGGGATCGAATGCCACAACACTGACCCAGGATTTGTGCCCGTGGCCTCTAGCTATTACTCGGCAGTCTACAAAGGACCAGACTGTCACCAAGTCGTCCTCTCCACCTGTCACAATGTACTTGCCATCTGGGCTCCAGCACACACACAGCAAGCCCCCAAAGTAGCTTTTCATCGTACCGTGCAGCTCCACCGAGTCGAAATTGAACACCCGCAGAAACCCGTCCTGGCTCACGCATGCTAAGAACTTGCCATCTGGGGAGAAAGCAAACTCGCTGAGGGCCCCCTCGCCCACCGTCCACTTAAGGAGAGGGTTCCTCGTGGATTTGCTCTTGCAAGTGTGCACGGCAAAGCTCTCTCCCTGCTTCAGAAGCTGGTAGTGGGGGGCTGTGGTGCCACAAGTGTGCTCCACATTATACAAGTACATGTTCCCACTCGAATGGGCTACTAGGAAAAGGCTTTCCGAACCGGGCACCCATTTGACACAGGTTACGCGTGCCTTGTCTATTAGTCTCTGTGAAGACAAAGGAGAACAGGTTATCACAAGGGAGAAGGTGCAAAGGTCTACTTTTCCAGCAAGAAAACTTGTTGCTTCTCGGTGAGAAGGAAGGAGTCCATCCAGGCACGCCACACTTATCCCGTGGTCAGCCAGCCAGCGAGATCACTGGCCCATTGCAGAGCTACTTTCTAGAATTGCACTTGGGTGGTGGCCACTGGCTTTCACTGAGGGAGTCAGCCATTCAACAAATATCTGCTGAGAGCCTACTCTGTGCCAGACCCCAGGCCAGGCACTGGGCACATGGGTGAGAGGCAGCCCTCGGATACCTCCTCACGTCCAGCAGGAGCATGTCAACCTGTGACTCAGCAGCTACACGCAGCTCCCTCTCGTGAGGACTCATAGCTGAGAAAGCCATGCCTCCCGGCTTTCTCTGCATTTCCTGTTACTGCAGGCCACGTGCTGACTACATGTGACCCTCTGCTGCGGCTGCTTGAAGGCGGGGAGTCAAATCTGCAGCCCGCTGCCAGCAGCACACAGGACTTGAAAGCACACTTGCTGGGCGCAATGCAGCGCCGGGCCCACTGAGGCCGCCCCACTTGCACACGCTGCCCGTGTGTCATCTTTTATATGCATTTCCTCAGAGTCCTCTTTGGAACGAGGTGGTGTTTAAAGAAATACCTAGATGGTCAACTCAGGAGTCTGTGCTCCGTCACTATCACTCAACTCCACGCTCACTTCTGGTCCACTGACCTAGTCGCTTCTTTAACAGGCATGAATCAGTAGTCGTGCCTTTAAGACCAAAAGAACAGAAGGCAGAAAGTGAAAACACCCAAATGCAAAACAAGGACCCTTGGCTTGCAGGCTTTGTTATGGGGACCACTGCAGGCACAGAAGCCTCCAAATGATTCTTCCCTAGGCTGCCTAGTCTCTAAATCATGTCACCAGAAATCACCCAAGTTCTGCCTGGGAATGCCTGCTGCCAAATATTCTCCACTGTCCCACTGCCCTGTAAAAGGGCAGCCCCAGAGGCTTAACTGCTACCACTTTGCCTAATTGGTTGGGATTCCCCAACTCGAGTCTCAGGGCCACCAGGGCACACTGAGTGGACCTTGTCAAAAAAACATGGAGCCTGCAGCCTAGCTGGCTTGACTATGTGACTGCTTCTTTACAGAAAATTATTAAATGAAAATTTTATTATTAAAAGGATGGGAAAGAGTTCATGAGCCATGCAAGCTCAATGTATGAAAACCAGACCTCAGAAGGTGGGCTGCCAACAAATGACGCCAAATTGGGAAGGGGAGGTGGGTGCCCTGGACAGTATGCAGGCCTGAGGGGCTTGGGTTCCATAGGTCAGTTGCAAATTATTTTACAGAAGGTGTCACTGCTGATTGCCACCGAATGTCATAGCTGGACCTCTTAAATTAATAAGCTCTGTCCTTGGGGACACAGCCAACATTTTCATCCTCGCCTTTCTTTCTTGCCTGCTGACCTACCTATAAAAGGCACCTGATCTATGTTAGCGTCAACAACTTAAAAACCTAGCACTGCTCTGGCAGGATTTCCATTATACATTCACCATTTCTTCAGCAAGAAGGTTAGGCAGGTAATATGCATGGCCAAACCAGATGGGGCAGGGAGAGTGGTCTGGGGAGTGTACAAGTGTTGATAGTGGGCTAAGAAGAGGCCCCCCACATCCAATGGTGCTCTGCCAGGCTTGCTATTTATGTCCTTGCTGTGTCCAGCCCCAGGACTCACTTCTGAGCCCACAGACAGGACAGTGAGATGCCCCAGTGTCTAAGGGCATCCACAGCTCACCCTTATCAGGGTTTAACAAGCTAACTTGAGCTGAAGTCAAACTTCCACCCTTATCCTAGTATAGCATTCTCAACTCTTGCACCTTCCCTTTCAGCAAAACCCTACCAAATCCCAATTTTTCCAAGATCACTTCACTGTTATTCTATTTACCATTTGCAGAAAATTTTAAATACATAAAAACTCATAGCAGTATGGTTAGGATAAATTTTACTTTGCACCTTAAAAAAAAGTACAACAAAAAAATTCCATTAGAATCCAAAAACTATAATCCTATCAAGCAAAAATAGTAATTGGTCTATAATGGTGAAGTATGAAGATAAACAGTTACAACACTTATTAAAATAAATGTTATTGCAATGAGAAAACACATTTAAAAACTTCATTCTCACATTAAAAAGCTGCACTGAGACTACCCTACATAGACATGTGGATTACCGATTATTAAAAAAAAAAAAAAAAAAACCCTGCACTTGCTGGATGTGATTGTGCAAGCCCGTCATCATAGCAGCTCAGGGGCTGAGGCAGGAGGACTAAGAGTTTAAAAGTTCAAAGCCAGCCTCAGTAACTTAGCAAGGACCTAAGCAGCTCAGCAAGACCCTATCTGTAAGTAAGACTGGCTCAGTTAGTGCCCCTGAGTTCAATCCCCAGTACGAAAACAAAACAAAACAAAAAACCCTGCACTCATCTGCTCCAACTGCTGGCTGGGACACCTAATCAGAAGCTACTATCACACTCTGGTCCTGGGGGACTAGGCACATCAGTGTGGGCAGATAAAGGAAATAACAAGAAGGAAGAAAGGGTTTCTTGCTTGTCTGCCTCATCAATTTTCCCTGTCATCTGTGTGCTTGAGGGAGGGAGAACATATATTTCATGGGGGGGGGGCTGCACCTCAATCACATGGGGGAGCACATTTGGTGGGCAGCACATCATCATCCACAGCAGTGTCCTAACTTCCAGTCTGAGTATCAACTCTGGGTGCCAGGCACTGGCAAGATGCTTTACGCCACTCTCTAATCTCAAAATAACCCTGCAAGGTCAGTGTAGGGGTTTTGTTTGTTTCTGATCTGGCAATACACTTATAACTCAAGTGCAAGCATACAATAAAAAGCTCAATCACTCTCTTTTGCATTCCAGATCCTCTGCCCTCAGTCATTGATACTGGGTTCTTGTTAACCTACCCAGAGTGATTTTGTACGTGAACAAGATAAGTAAAATCTACCCAATTCTGTCTTCATACTGTGCACACTCTCACCTCTGCCTTCTCAGTCCATGATACATCTTATACATCTGTGTGGTCTAAAGACAGCTTCTTCCTCTTTTTCTAAAGCTGCCTTCAATTATGTGGATGTACTGTGGCTTATCGTGCAACCCCCACTGATTAACATCAATATCAGGATGAATACCCTTGAACACAGGGCAGTTTTCACATGTCTGACAAATACACCTGCAGGATAAATTCCCAGGGCAGTGGCTAGGTCAAAAGGCATATACATTCATAAATTTCATAGGGACAAATTGCCTCCCATGGAGAATGAAACAATTTACATTCCCAACAGCAATGTCATTGAGCCTGTTTTCCTGCAGGAAGGTAGGTATTATTCTATAGAACACCTACCTGCCCACGAGGAAAGGAGCTCAGAAAGGTTAAGAAACTTGCCTGACATCCATTACCTTCATCTCCTCACTCAGCACTGAGTGATTATCCTGTGCCAGGCACTGATATGGCATTAAACAAAATAGTCATCCCTTCCTATATGGAATTTATGTTCAATTGGAAAGAGAAAATAAGTGAAATTTATGATTTAATGGTGTAAGTGCTTCGAAGAAACAAAAAAGCCACAGAGAGAAGATAAAGTGATGGAGTGAGGGGGTTGTAGTGATTTCAGTCTCCAACAAGAGAGCCAAGAATGGACTTTCCCTGATTGGGGGGCAGCTGAGCAAGAACTGGGAAGAGAGTAGAGAGAAAGTGTGAGGAAGTGCATCCATCCAGAGAGAACAACAACTCCCAAGTGTCAGGTGTTGAGGTGGGAGCAAAGCAAGCCTAAGGGAGACCGCAGAACCTGCTCTGATGATGCAGATAGATCCTGTGCAGGTCACAGGATCCCACAGACAAACATCAAGTCGCTCTGACACCAGCCTGGCAGGGCCACTCACAGGATTTCTTAGGAAGAGGGTGACAACTAGCTCAGACCCCACTGCCAGGGTGGGAAACACAATTCCAGGGTTAATTAATTTAAATTGTTTTAATTTAAATTTTTCTGGATTGTTACCTGGTTTGGGTTTAACAAAAGAGAAAGAGAACAGAAAGCATCTTTCTCCTGCCTTTCAAATTAAAAAACAGAAATATCTGGAATATTTTCTTCAATTACACAGCCCAGCTACTGCACATAAAATTATATTTTTGTTCCACAAAGCGTCTGGGCAAAAAAAGGCAAGACTCTTAGTTGGTAGTCAAATGTTGAGTAATGGGATTTCCTTGCTAGGCCTGAACTCTCCAGGATGAATGGGGACTTCAACTGAATGAGCATTCTGAAAAACTATCCCTGAAGCAAAACGCCATCCCTCCAGGAGTTCTTGGGGAGAGATGTTGGGGGAGGGGATGGAAGAGGCAGAAGCACAAAGACAAAGGCTCAGACAGAATAGTCCAGGGCGATGCAGTACTGGCCCTACAGGCCCTGTGTCTCTGCTGTTTAAATTCCTGAAGCAGGAAGAGGGGACTGCTCTGGAATCCTGAGTTGGGATTTAGGAGTGTGAAGCCCAGGCTCAGAGCTCAGGCTGTGACCCTGACCCTGAAGTCACATTGCTGACTTGAAGGAAATGTGCTGTGAGTATAAAATACACACTGGATTCTGTATCTTCATTAGAAAGAAAGAATGTCAACTATATTATCATAATTTTTATACTGGTTGTATGTCGAAATAATATTTTGGATATTTGGATAAAATATATTCTTTTTTTGGTGGGGGGGAGGGGGTTCCAGGGATTGAACTCAGGGCCACTCAACCACTGAGCCACATCCCAGCCCCTTTTTTGTATTTTATTTAGAGACAGGGTCTCACTGAGTTGCTTAGTGCCTTGCCTTTTGATCCTCCTGTCTCAGCCTCCCAAGCTGCTGGGATTATAGGCATGTGCCACCACGCCTGGCTAAAAGATAATGTATTTCTTTTTTCAAAAAAATTCAAAAAATTTTTTAGTTGTAG